GCATTAACGGGAGAGGACGTGCAAACGTTACCGCTGCTGCTGGGCTGAGATTCACGAGTCCGGAGCAGAATTAAAAACATGACATTCATTTAAGGTCATCGCGTGTTTTGTGAGCAAATGCTTTTGCATATTCGTAGTGTTTCCTCCCTTAAATGAAATATCTACTTTTCAAGTATTGCAAGTTGCCCTGTTGTCATCTGTTCTCGTAAAGTATAACCAAACTTTTGAGCGTTTGAGCCACTTAGGCGCCGTGTTTCCTGCCAGGTAAATGACGCTCCGCAACATGGTGACGTCATTCGGGGCGACTGGAATCGATAAGGGAATTGAAACAGTGGGAATCGGTTCTCAACAAGAACCGGGTTTCGATACCCATCCCTACTGACGTCTATGAAATTTCTGTTTGATAAACAAAAATATATTGTAATCTGGAGAAAAATAATAAAAAAATGTCTAAAATATTTGATCATAGTCCTGGAGATTTTCTTTGGTGCCAATCTAAAACCTTTTTGTTAATTATAAATTATTATTATTGTTGTTGTTTTTAATATGCAGGAAATTCCCTGAAAATGAGCTCTACGGTAAAGCAGTTCTTCCTTTCTTTGGCATTTTGAATGTACATCCCTAGTTAAACAGCAGTCCATGGGCTTTTCTGACTTTCTCTGTTCTGCTTGTATTCGTATTTTGTAACAACTTAAACTAATCGCTTCACCATCCTGTTCCACACATGGACAGGATCGATACCACCATTATCTAGCAGGTCAATATCTACAACTTAACTTCTGCCTTCCCTGCTTGATCCAGGAGCTGGGCAGTTTAGAGGGTAAGGCCAGAATGAACTTTCAGCACTTGGAAAAGGGATGTGCTGCCTCGTCTTCGACCCAGAATAATGGTGAGGCTGGAGCACTGGAGCAACTAACGAAGCCTGGTCTCACTGTAGAATCCATCTACAGCCAGAGGTACACACAGAGATGGCGGGAATAAATTTTCAACTGAAAATTAAAATGTTTGTCATGTTTGCGTCATGTCCCTGTTGTTCATCTTTCTGTATAGCAGAGAGGACTCCAGCCCTCAAAGTGCAACTGAATCC